CCCCCTTGGCTTATTTGCTCCTTCGTGTGGCAGTAAGGGAGAAAGGTGCTATTAGACCCCACCTGATCCTTGCCAGGACACCACCGCAGCAAAATACCTGAGACATTGCTAAACAATTTGCTCTGCCATTTCCCTTCTTTCCCTGCCCAGAGACGAGAAGAGCCTGACCGTGCAGGCAGGGTTACCAAGAGGCACATTTTGAGACAGTATCTTTTCCTCTGTAATTTTCAGTTATCTGAGCATCGCCACCTCAAGAGTCTCATAGCATTGATTAGGGGCATTGCCACATTGAAGATTATTTACCTATTGTTTTTAAGGTTTCTGTGAGGTGAAAAACAGCCTGCACCTTGCACTGTGCGCAGTTTAAGGAGCAGATGCGCTAGCCTTCCTTCATAAATGCCCTGCTGTATCCTATGGGAGAAAAACACTACTGTTGTGATCCCTTCCATGAGATGAGGAGACACCAGCAGTGCCTGCAAACTGCTCAGCGCCCTCAGGCGCCGGTGCAGAACAGCCAGAATTTTGGCAGCCAGTGAAAAGTTTGTGCAGCAAAAGGCCTGTGGCCCTTTGAAAATTTTCTACTTGTGCATTCAATTGAAATGGGAGCAGAGGGAGAAAATGACAATGAAGGAGTCAGATTTTCTTGGGAACCCGGTGTTAGAAACATCAGGGTTTCGATAGTCACTGTCCCCAGAGCCATCCATTCAAACCAATGCTGTGCTGGCTGCCTTTGGCAAAGTTAAGGCTTACTCCTGTGTTTCCTTTGTATTCAGCCAGGTCCTTAAAATCTCAGACTTCTCTGGCTAGGCATATTTGAGAAGTTAAATACTCAAAAACTAGGAAAAGCCAAAGTTTAGGTTTAAAACACTTTCTTAGCAAACTCACTGTGCCAGGGGCATCACCACTCACGCCTTAATTGTATGATTGTTCTGTTACGATGCTGTATCTTTATGTTTTGTTTGTTAAAGTCATTTCTTAAGCAGTGGCTCTAACTAACCTCACAGCTTTGTAGCCTCTGTATTTCTCTCCCTGTCTGGCTGAACTGCAAAGGTCTCCAGGCTTTTCCCTTATCATTCAACCAATGCCTTCGGTCCCTTCTCTGCTACCACAGAACCTGAAGCTTTTCTCCCTCCGGATCTCATTTCCTTCCACACACATGCATTTTTCTGAAATGTTGCCAGTTTCAACAACATACCATCTAATCCGACTCCTTTCTCCTCTCTCCCTTCCTACCCCCATTCATAACACAGACGCCCTCTTCTCAGCATCCCCACCACCTGCCAAAAACATCGGGTCCCGATCTACAAGCAAGGTACCTGAGCCACTGGTGTGTTTGCTCAGGAAACACATCAGCTGGGAGACAGACGGAATGACTCACAACACAGCCAGCTCCTCGGCAGAGAGCTTATTTCTTCATGTCTGAGCACAGCTCTGTTCTCAAATTGGTGGAAAATCCCAAATGTTTCCGTGGTAGTGGCGAGACTGTGTAGGGGTGAGAAAGTGGGAGCTGAGTAATGTGAGCATGTATGCTACACTTTGTTTTGTACAAAACCAAGACGACCTCTGTATCAATCACTTACATCGCTCATTTTCTGACTTATTTTCTTGGAGGAGAAGAAGAAAAATAAGTTTTGCTCTGAAAGGTCCAGGTCTATTTTCAGTTTGTTGAGTGGTGGATGAACTTTTCAGGAGATTATGGCCAACGAGCATACCAGGACCAGTGTGAGCACCCTCTGCAGGGTGCACACTCTCCAGGTGCTCCATCTGGTAGGACTGATGAAAGGGAAAGGGAATGAGCAGCTTTAACAGATTTGTTTCTTGGTTTCTGTTTCTGGCGTGTGCATATCTTTGGGTTTTGCCAGTAGACACAGAGTACATGTCCTTCATATTGTTCTTTGTGGTAACCAATAGACAGACTATATGACTGAATGCCTCTTTCCTCGAGAAATCGGGTTAAAAATACCCAACTGTTTGGTATTGTCTTTTACAATATTGTCTTTTCTGTGAAATAACCTCCTGTCCTCTTTTATTTGAGCACTTATAAAATTTAGCTTAAAGATCCTTCCTTACCTCCCATGAGGTGGCAGTGGCAGATAAGAGTCCTTCCTACCACAACGCTTAAATAGAACTTTAACTAAAACCTTACAAGTAGCACCACCGATTGTTCAACTCCATCTCGCCCTCCCAGAAGACTGGGCTGCCCAGTCCTGCTATTTCCAGTCCCATCTGCTTTCAAGCCAAGAAGAAAGCTGTCACCCAGTTTAGGGCTTTGTCCTGTGCAACTGAAATCAGTAGGTGTTTTGTCTTTGCTTTTAGTGAGTTTATAAATGAGCTGGTAGCTGTATGCTTTGACCCCATCAGTTTCCCACCTGGTGCTAAAAGATGAGCTCTTATCTTTTCTCTACCCCACTGATATCTAGTGATAAGAAGAAATGAGGAGGGGCAGGAGAAGGAAAGGAAGCAGATGAGAAAGCTCTCCTACTGAGCCTAAATCAATGTATTTTTATTATGAAATCTCTCCTAACATGTTAGCTAGTTTCTCTAATACTTTCCATTTTGGTAGCATCTTCCATCCGGACATGTTGAGAGGAGATAGAAACTCACACTAATTTTTTAGTCTTGCAACATTTGATTCTGCAACATGTGTGCAGAAACCGAGGAAAAAGAGAAAATCGGAGATTTGGCAGAGATCATTCTCAGAGTCTGCAGCAGAATGAAAAATGTTCCTCAGGACCTGCAACTCTAGCTTCCGTGTTTTGTCTACAAGGCCTTCATCTCACATGTGACTGTTCATGTCTTAATTCTAACACATGCATGAAAGTTAAAGCCGTCTCTTCTTTAGGTAATAAACTGCAAAGCTAAATACAATAAAAATCTGGCAAATAATTGACAAAAAGTACAGAAAAATTTGTTGTTCTTCCAAAGGAAGAGAGCTTAAGTATTGCAGAGAAAATACTCTCTCTGCCTTCTTTGAAAAGTAATCTTCATATGAAAAGCATACCCCATTTACCATATTGTATTCATTTCTGTATGTACTGAAATTTCAGAGTAGTCATTCTGGAAACGTTTTTGTTACCATTTCAGCTGAAGGAGTGGGCTATAATTTACAAACTTTGAGGAATTATTATCCAGCTGTGTTTTAGTTCATTTTCAGAAAGAAGGGATTATGTTTATATATAGAAGTCTTTATGTAATTAATGTTAATTTGCACATGTTAATGAAGATGATTATTAGCAAAGCATTGTAGTTTCGTTCCTGCTTTTTTAGTTGAATAACATTCTGCTGTAATCAATGCAACATAACTCATCCCTATTTTTCCTGAACGGTAACAACTATTTTACAAGAGGGCTTTTAATGAAGCCAAGGCATGATGACAGACTCTTAAGTGAGCTTTATCTGCCAAATAGCTTAATGTATTTTATTTTACATATTGCTAGGACTGTAAAATAACATTAAACATGACTTGCTACTAATGAGCTACTGTGAAAAATGACAGACATTTTTTTGGCCGGAAATCAGTTCACAGCAAAATATTCAGTAAGACTGACCCATTCTTCACAGGTTCACAACTCCTAATTTCTCTTCTATTATTTTCTGCATTAAGGTAATAATACTTAGTATAGAGCCCAGACACTGTCACACCTCAGAAATCAGCTGAAGTAGTACTAATGGGAAACAGCTCACAGAAGTGTTATACAGCTGTTGTACCTGTCAGCACCCTAAAGGGCTGCTCCTCTTGGGAGAAGAGCACATGCACGTGCATGTAAATAGAAGGGAAGAAGGGGCTGGCATCGTCCATCCCATATATCTCCTACAAGTTATAGGGTTTCTTCTCTGCATACACTAGTATTTCTAGACAGAAATGACTCACTGACACTGAGCCACAAATTCGTAACGTCCATGCAGACAGCAGTCTTCAGATCAGGGGATCAACTCTCTTAGGAGATTCTCCCCGTTCAGACAAATTGTACTGCTGAATACTTCTCTTACCATAAGCTTTTGTCCTTTTTTTTTTTTTGCACGTCCTTAACCCCTAAGTGCTTCTTGGCAAATTATTTACTGTGGACAGCTTTTGGAAGTCTTCTCTGTGTCTTCGAGTTTTGAGCCTCTAGCAGTCTTTCTTTGGAGGGGCTACATACATTCCCAGTGCTAAGATACCTGGGATAGTCACCACTTCCAAGGATGCAGCTAATATGTATCATGTGTATAATGTAAATGTCTAATACCACATGCTCATACAGGTCACCTAACTCACCATAGGAGACAGAGGTGCTTGCTCAGAGTCATTTGTATTTTTCCAAATAGAACAAGTCAAGTTCATTTCAGCAATGGTGCAGGTGCTGGGGGAATTGTGTGGAACGGAATTTAGCTAATAACATCTCATTCTTTTAGTGACTTTGTTCCTTTGTGGAGCCAGCACATGTAAGTTAATATGTTGGGGTTCATCCCCTTCTGGGCAGCAACAGAAATGTTTGCTAAGTTCCAATCAGTCAAAAATGTGCAATTGTCTTGGTGACAGTAAAAGGCTGAAACTGCTGCTGTTATTGAGACACTCATTCGGAAGAGCACACAGCTAGCACAAGCACAAGAGCCTATTTTGTCTATGGGATGTCTACTTTTATTGGTGAGGGATAACGGATCCAGGTCCAACCTCTGAGAAGCAGATCAGTTTCAAAAAAGCCCCCATGAAGTAGACATGCCTACTCTGAAAACCGTTAGGGGCCAGTAAACATTGGACCATAGCATTCATCAGTTTCAGGTAGAACTGCACTGGCAAGAAATTTTTAAGCGGGTGTGATGTCTTTACAGATCTTGGCAAAGGCTTCTTCTGCCATTTGTATTCTGTATAGATCACATATGATGGTACAAGCCTACTTTACTTTGTTACAATATTGTATTTCAGTTAGCATTAATTAACTACAAGTCAACAAATAAAATGCTGAATCACCATCCTTTTAAAACACGCTTGCCAGAGGATGACTCTGTGCTTTTATTCACAGGAGGAAACTGAGTGTCCTTCATCTCTCTCTGTTATCAAAGAGACGACACCAGGTGAAATTCTAGAGGATGATTTCTTCCCACCTGATGACCTCTCCTCTGATGAAGAATATTACATCGAAGAAAGCAAAGCAACCCAGTTCAAGAAATCAGGTATGAGGCGCATAGATGATATCAAAAAGGCCTTTTCAAGGGAAAATATCCAAAAGACGAGACAAAATTTTGGCAAGAAGGTAAACAGGATTCGAACGAGAATAGTGACCCCTGAGAGGAGAGAAAGGATCAGGCAATCAGGAGAGAGACTGAAACAATCTGGCATAAGGATCAAGAAAACCATTTCACAGGCTGCCCCAACGAAGGAGACGTTCAAGATCCATAAAAAAAATAAAGAACGAACAGGAGCTGAAGGTCAGGAGGGGATCCAGGAAGCCGGTGCGCACATCGCCTCTGAGCTCGCGGCAGCAGAGCCCTTCACTGAGGAAATCTCTTACACAGAAGTGATCACTAAGGTAAAGAAAGACAAGAACAGTGCAACAAAAGGTGCTTCCCAGTCAACTGAAAAAGGAGTGACAATCCCAGAAGTCGTTCTTAAGCAAGAAGGAAAAGAAGGAGGAGGAGGAGGTGATGATGTCCCTTTGCTAGACTTAAAGCAATCAGCATAAGGAATCAAGTAGCAAACACACCATACTGTCCTTATTGAACAAGAGATAACACAGTATGTATTCACTCAGCTTTAGAAAAATGTGTGAATTTGTGTTATATCCCAAAACATGTGTTGGTGGTGTTTTATCATTTACACGGGTGTCTGTAGTGTCGTCTTTCTGACAAAAGCCAAGCCATGCAAACTGAATGAAGGGGCTCCCCCTCTGTCTCGCAGCGTGCAGTAGCCATCATTAACCCAACTGGAACTCGCGTGTCAAAGGGAGATGGAAATCTGCTGTATTTTCAAGATTGATTTAGCAGTCACTTAGCAGCCTAATCACTCTCTCTAGTTTTATGTACAACAGCATAAATAATTATTTCCATTATCTTCCACCAACTCCTGTAATCAGAAAACAATAACAAGGCTATTAGTTCATATTAGCAAAAGGAAGAACTATGAAGAAGGCCCATTCAGCTACACAAATCTTTTTGTAGTAGGGCCCTCACTGAAAGAGCAGGAGGAGGAAATTTCTGCTTTATCCAGGGTGTGACAAAATGTGGCAGGAATGATATGGGGTTTGAGTAAATTGTGTTTCTTCTCAGTGGAAAAGCGAAGCTCCTGAAATGACTAAAGATTATTTCCAGAGTTCTGGAAGAGGAAGGTTTGATGTATGTAAGCAATGCGTTTTCTGCACTCATGGAGTAAGAATAAAAAAGCAGAAGACACATTAAATATGGAATAGCAGGAGGAAAAGAGAATGAGGTATCCTCTTCGTGTTTTGGAAAGATGTGATTGTGAGGAAGGCAAAGGTAGGAAACAGTAAAAGAGGAATAAGATTAATGCATGAGTTCTGGATAAGTAGAGAATAAAATTAGAATACTGTAACTGAAGTTTCCTCGAGATTTGTTAAAGAATTGTTAGTCTATCCAGAGGATCACAGGGCTCATGAACATAACTGACCAGACAAGGGAATTGTTTTGTTTTCCATTCTCAGTACTTTTTCTGAGGTTCACTGCAATTAAATCCACTTTACAAAGCCGGTGAAGTACAGGGCGAATCCATAACCCAATTCTTTGTTTCCTATCATCATGGATATTGACCAGCCCCAGCCTCAGGGATTATGAGACAGACACCCTTTGGAGTATGGAATGCTGTTCATTTGCAACACTCGGGAGCCAGTGCCCTGGCATCAGATATGTTTGTAAACACGACCGCTGGGCTGACATGGGGGGCAGGACTGTATTGCTCTCTTCATTCTTAAACGGAGTTGCCTTCAAAGCACTTATCTAAAGCAATGTTAGTCATTACTATCTGTGTGAAACTTGTACAATATTGTCAAAAGCTGTATGATTGTATTTAATATCTCAGATTCATTTTAACAGCAGAGCATAACTTGCTTATCTATATACATTGTTTGAGGTCTCCCGGCTAATTGTTAATCTATAATTTAAATATAATTAGTTTGATTTCAAATATTCTGCCTGCCAGTTCTTTCATTTAGTCTGGTGTACATCGCATTTGAAGTGGAACAGCTTTAGCAATAGTAACTAGGGACCACTAGTTGGGGAAGGTCAATGTTATACCATGTCAATGACATTTCAAATCAAATTAATGTTGTCAGGTTGGAAGCAGCGACTCCACTGAAAGGAAGGGCAGGATAGGGCAAGGGAGGGAGACAGGGAGAGGAAGACATTTCTTTCAACAGTAAATTGTACATCTCCACTGTACTGTAATTACATGCAAAAAAGGAAAAAACGGTTTGCTTATAAGATAGATTGGAGGTTTTGGTTGGTTGTTTTTTTACTAGCTATAGGAAGTGTTTTCTGGAACCAGGTGACTGTGTGTTCTTCCAGTTCTGCATAAAACTGTAGCTATCTTCAGTGAAATACTGCATGATTTGTCTGGTTCTTCTGTAATATGCCCTGCATTCTGTCCTGCAAGATTTGACATTTTCCTAAACTGACATACAGGGTTTAGTTATGGAAATGAAAATGTCAGAGTTCAAAGAAGCTATTTCTTTGCATTTTTATACAGCAGAACACTAAGTGCTATAACATAATTGCCTATAGATTTTCTTTATATGGCATTTAATTTTCTCATTTTACTTGACAAAGAAAGGAAGTGATGCAGTTTCCATGGAGGTTATCATGTAGCACTGCATATAACCTCTATCAAATATGCATTTTTAATGTTTACTTCTAACTTCAAGTGTTCAGAGGCTGATTTGTTTTCATAGAAAGTGAGTTCTTCAGGTATGCAAAGTATTTCAATGTACACTCTTCATTTTAAGTTATTATCAATGTCACTGACTTGAATTTCACGTGTACCAAGAGATCAAAGTTAATTTACTCCACATCCCCTCATACAGGTAGGGGATGGAGAGAATACTATGGTTTACAAACTCAGTATCTATACAACAGCACCGCCTTTTGCTGCTTGAAGTCCCCCTTATCTTTTTCATAATTTCCAAGAGCAATGATCTTGAAGCCCGATACTTCACTTTTCTGGGAAACAAAATTCTCAATGAAACCAGCTGATGTACAGCTGTACTGCAGGGAGGTTTGGTGTATATTTTTTTGAACAGCTGGTTTCACTTGGTAGGATAATCTCACCAGCACCGCATGTGAAACAAGCACTGCTCCCAGCTCAGTAAGAGAAAGGGACCCTGTCCCTGTCTACTCTGTTTTCCAAGAAGAAATCTGGCACTTTCTGCTTAGTTGTGGGTGGGAGTGTGAATATCAAACTTCCTCATGGAAAGAGCCCTGCAATTGCTAACTGCAGAGTAAAACTGGTTATGGGAAAGGATGAACTACTTTCTTAGACGCCAGCTGAAAAGAAATGGAAGTGTTTATACGAAAATTGAAAGTGTTTACAAGGAGAAAAAAAGTGATTAACAAATCTTGCACTGGAAGTCCTTCATTCATAACATCCAACAGCAATTTCTTTTGCTTTGAATTTGTGCTAGTGAAAAAAGCCAATAGCTGCCTGTCTATTAAGAGAGAAGCAGCAACCACCCCTCAATTACAGGGTAGACAGCAATGGTGGTAACCCACAAAAACTACTTCAACCACTTCAAGTGAATCTACTCCCAGAAATGGTCATCTAATTTTTTTTACCTGAACTGATGCAAAATATGGAATAAAAAGCAGTTAAGAGGTTTGAGTTTACAGGATTCGGGCAATAATGCCAATGGAGCAAATACTAATAGAGCCAAACTGGTGTTCAAATGTGTTGAGTCTAAGAAGAGTTTCAAAACATTTTTCTCACTAATAATGGGGGGTGTGCATCTCTTCCTTATAATGGGATATAGGTTTAGAAATGAGTTAATATGTGCAAAGGCTACTACTTGTGCAAAGATAAACTCGCCTGTTTATACAAATTCTATGACCGTTTGCATAATCAAGTGACTATTCAAGGAAACAGTAGCACCCATTTGTAAAACCACCCAGTAAGTTTACAAATACAAAATCAAAGGAACTGTGCATTGGAATATACACAGATAAACATTAAGTTTTACAATACGTTTAATTCACTTGTCATTACAGCTTTAATAATGCTATGGATGGTAAGTTTTAACTACAAAGTTGAATTTAATAAGAATTACATCATATTACAAGGAGGTCTTGTATTAGGAAGAAAAGATAACATCTACAAAAGAACCACCATAAATGTTAGAGGAGTTGTCACTGTCATAAGCACTTTTTTTCCTAGTGTTTCCATTATGAGCAAGCTAGCGCTTTATATTCTCACTTGCTTTATAACAGTTGCCAAATTTTACACCTGCAACTGTTTTCCCTCTGATATTCCCAGGTTAAAGACATTCAGTATTTTTGCTGTGAACAGAGTAAACAGATCTATGTGTAATTATCACACTCTCTATACATCACTTATTAATTCCCATACCCCTATGAGAATGTAGCCACCACTTTGGCAATAACAATAGAAGTCCTACTGGCTGCAGATTATTCTTCCTCGGTGGTTCTTTCTTTATAGATATCTGTTGGTCCTTATTTTGAATTGCAGAGCAGTGCAACCCCCCGTAAAGTCCAATGATCAGGATTCTGCACTGTTTTCAGATTCAAGGAGAAAATGTATGTCAGATCTGTTCTCCTAGGCTTTTTGTAGACAGGGCAGGAGTACACACTTCCTTGCTGCTTCTTTGGGTCATGTAGTGCTGTTGTGCTAACCGCATACACATGGACTACAGGAAGACTCGTGAACAGCACCTAAGAATGTCAAAATGAGACATAGGGCTCAGCATTAGAGAAGCAGGATAGGGTGCCTGAACTCCAAATGCTAGAATTATATTCAGTGATGGCCTTCAGCAAACACACCAGCACCGCGGCATAAGTACAGGTGAGAACACAAGTCCTGTGCTCACTAATACATTGGCCCTAACTTTAAGTCAGTGGCAGCTCAGGGAACCTGGAAGGAAAAGAAAGCAGCAGGAACCTGGAAAACTGCATGCCATGGAAGTAACTGGAAAAACGACAGGGTAGTTCTAGGAGGGAGAGACACCATTGTCTTTTTTCCCCATCTTTTGCCCCTTTGGATAGTGTTCCCCATTTTTTCTCCACCTCCTGTTCCCTGAATGGCAGCACTGGAGCTACAAAGGCCAAGCTGCATTTAGCAATCCTTGCTCGCTCTGCACTGACAGCAGTGGAGCTTCAAAGATCCAAGGTGCCTCTTGAGCATTTATCCAGACTAGATCCCCTCAGGTCTTCTACTGATATAAAGTATTCATTGGCGGGGGGCAGGGGGAAAGACCCAAACACAAGAGCAACATGGAGGCTTGCTGAACACTCCAGAGCACTTGAGTAAACTCAATTTTTGAAGGTGTCTTTTGACAAACCAAGCAACAGCTGTCACCAGAACCTACAGCTGGCAAGGTTTGGTTTGCAAAAGTTTGTTCTCAGCCAGACACAGAAGTGTTTTACCTATGGAGAGGAATTACCTCAACTCCAATTCCAGGACAGTCATCACTCATTTGGAAAAAGTCAATGACAGCTTTCCCTGGGC